TTCTCCTCCTTTCTTCCATCCTTCCTTCGCCGCACAAACCCGTTCGGTCCCTTCAGGCTGACAGGAGTAGCGCAGCCGTTAATGAAAAACGAGCCTTCCCGCTTACACTTCAGACTCAAACGCGTTTCAGAGAAGATAGCGAGACTTGGATCCCCTGATCAGACACTTTATCTGAACCGATTCGAGGATAATTCGGTTAAAACCATAATCCAGCCGTCAAATATAGATTTGATCTTCTCAAAACCCATACTGACCCAAATGCACGTCACCCAAACATAAGAAGACTGCGTGGAAGTCGAGATGGGATTTTTATGGCTTTTAGTGCATATTTATTGCGGTCTCTATACGCTAATGTACTTCTAAATAGCGTGGCAGACGAAAAACGGGTGACGAAATCAAATCTCACAGGCTTATATTAAAGAGGGTTAAAAGTCATTTCTAGAGAGTTGAATATCATAGAGACTTGAGTTGGACTTGGGCCAGTATAAAACTATCTAGCAACCACGCTATCAATGAAACAGCTCAGTCATTCTTGAGACATGGGACAAAAGAGGTCCAGCAAGGGTAACTGCTATTAGGTTTAAAAATAAAAATATTTTCAATTTTAAATGTCATGAGGGATTAATAATAGAATGTATTTAACACAATTATCACCTTCAATTTAATTTTCTCATTATTATACCAAATCTGTGTTTCTTAATGTCCTCTCACTACGTCTAAAACTGTGTCCACAGAGAAGGGTTCAATCATTCATATGCAATAAAATGGATAAAAATGTTTTTTTTAATGATGAAAAAGAGCTTGTTTTATCAAAAGCAACACTTAATAATATCTCCTATCAAAGCAAGGTTGTTTTTAATGACACACGCATGTTTAATACGATTTTAAAGTTGCGTCCCCACTTTTTGTCAACACCGTCAGACATTCAATAAAATGTAATAAAATCAGGGAATATCAGGGGCAGCTGTCACTCTAAAGGAACCCCTTGCCACACAGTTCACCTCTGCAGAGTACATCAGTGTCAGACAGGCTCTGCTAAGTTAGTTTTAGAATATTTTAAATCCTAATGTTAATATTTCCTGTGTCACAGCCATGATATGTCAACACCATCTTCCAATTTCTGAGGAAATTATTTGAAATATTTAGATAATTGTATTCTCCTGAAGCAGGTTCCATGGGCATCTAGCATCAACAGAAACAAATAAAATGGCTACTACATGAACTCCATTGGCTTTGTGAAAGAAATGCAAAATTTGTCAACACCGTCAGGTGTCACCACCATAAGATTTTGTGTTCCAATGATATATCAAAATACTTAAATGTGACTCTTGAATACAAGCTTTATAAACAATAACATACTCACTGTTTGTTGTTTGTTTTAATACAGTAATTGACTGATTCAATGTATTTGATAGTTAAAATTATTACAAATTCAGGTTTTCGTCACCTCCGTCAGATGTGTTAACTCCGTCAGTTCTGTCACCTCCGTCACCTCCGTCAGTTTAATATTTTGATAATATTTCATTAAACTGAGCTGGATGATGACATCACTGAATTGAATGATGAACTGTCTTTAACTGAAAAATGAGTGTTTACTATTGTCATTTTGCATTATTGACGCACTATTGTCCTAATTAATGCTGTTCAGTTGCTTTGACACAATCTGTATTGTTAAAAGCGCTATATAAATAAAGGTGACTTGACTTGACTTAATCTGTCTGCTAACACAAGAATGTGTTTTGAAATGTTAAAAACATCTTGAATGCTGTTAAAGATAAAGCTGAAATTATATTGCACAGTCCAAGCTAAAAAAAGCACATTTTGTTAAAAAAGAGAAAAGCTGGGAGGTTGTATCAAAGCATATCTCAGTAGCTTAGTACATATAAGATACATAAATGTAGATTCATTTGTCTTGAATACAAGGTTTTATTTTTTCAATTTTGCACCCTGTTTTGTCCCACTTCTCAAGAATGACTGAGCTACCAAAATTAAATGACAAGAATAATCAGACTACTTTTTAAAATTACTTTTGATCTAATTCATTTACCACATTGATTTAAATAGGATAATCTTGTACCATATTGATATAAAAATACAAAGAGAAATACAAACATATTTCATTTGTTGTTATTAACTAAATGAAGTGTGTTAAACATTACATCATTAATCAAAAATGATTCAAAAGCTAATAATTAAATAATAAAAATGTTAAATTAAAATAACAAGCAAAAAAAAAAAAACCACTTACTAAAAAAATATGAATGTGACCGTTAATCAACATCAGAAAACTGTCAACATGCAAGTTAACTTATTACCCTAAATAAATATATTATGCGAAAGAGGTTTGGCAGACAAGAAAGTTTGAGAATCCCTGCATACATGTAAATAAGAAATTTTAAAGGGGTCATGAACTGAGAAACCTAAATTCCCTTGATCTTTTGACACTGTCATTGTACTATAAAAGCATCCTGTAAGTTTCAACATTCAAAACATTCTCGTTAGTCTAAAAACCGATTATATTGAAGGCAGTCTGAATGACCGCTGAATGGCCAAAATGACCGCTTGTGGAATATATGACTCTTAGATGCAATAGTTTGGATAAGCACCACCTCCACAGAAGAAGATCAACGCTTGCTTCTACATCACTGCCTGTTTAGCCCCGCCCACTGATTCGCGCATGTAGAAGTGAACGCGCAGGTCTACGCAGAAACCAAACAATGTTCTGAAGACAACAAAACGCTGTGCAGTGCCAAGTTGTGGAAAAACAGTGTTTCCATTGCCTTCCTTCTGATCCCAACGTTACGAAAGAGTGGATGAACTTTACCAGAACTCCCACCCAGAACACTCTAGTAAGCAGGGGCGGACTGGCCATCTGGACATTCTGGAGAAGTTCAGAACGACCGTCCACCCGATGGCCATCGGCCTGGCTGGTTCATCATCAAAGAAAAAAAACACACATCACAAAATAAACCATTTTGTCAACAAAATGGTGGTTGTTCACGCCATAGCTAGCTGCTATGCTAAGCGCCAAAAAAAAGCTAGAACAAATCTCATTCCTGTGGTTGCCCAAGTCAAAAAGCCATTAGCCAGCACCACAAATTAATGTAAAACAAATCAAAATCCTAAGGTTTGATCGTGTTTTTTACAGGTTAATTTACCAAAACAATTAGCTCTATCTCTGTTATTTGCCCTTACCAAGCTGCCTGCAATCATTTCATTTCCTTTGACACCAAAACGTTGCCTTTACTGATAGAGAGAGACGACTAAATGACAGCATCTCTCAGGCGTCGCTGCTCCGGAGTTGCTAGTGACTGAATCTTCACAGCCTGGCAACATGAGTCCCAGAGTCCCCGTCCAACTCTGGAAGTGTAAGGTGAGTCATTCCATCCCGAGGGACAGAGCGCCATGCAAGAAACCATTCCCTCTAAATCATACATCAAATCCAGTGCGGGGCTTCTGTTAGCTGCTCCAAGATTAAACCACATGACCTGGAACCAGTCTACAAAATGATTAAGCCAACAATAGTCTGCGTAAGGCCAACTTGTGCATCCCGGCTTAAAGATTTAAGGGAATATTCGGGGTTCAATTTAAGCTCTATCAAAAGCATTTGAGGCATAATGCCGATTAAAACTTAAAATGTCCCTCAGATCTTTTCGGAAATGGAAGGTCAGGATGAGTTCACTGCATTTTGGGATACAGTTTTCCAGAAAACGGCAACTGTGATCCAGATATTACATGCAAAATTCACAGTACAGTCTTTATAGTGCAGAAATAGCAAGGATAGTATGCAAGTATGCTATTGAGACCGTAGAATGGTCTCCACAGTGGGTAAAACTCTTTTTAAAGTACATTTTATATTCAAAAGAGCAAGAACAATTCCTTTTTTGTATTATATGATCACTTTTCTTTGACAGCCTTCCAGTTTTGTACCTTTAAGGATATTCTGTGTTTGTAGCTAAGAATAAAGTGTGTTTTAAACGTATTTGGTTTACGACGTTCCCGTGTGTCTGAGTTTATCCTCTGCACTTTCTTTCAGCAAAGATTATCAAAGTAATCTTGCAGAAAAGCCATGAGGAAACTAGTCAAACCTGATCTTGTGTATCAAGCTCATGGCACTTAACCAAACTACACACAGCTGTTGGCTCTGCTTAGCTCAGAAAAATATTGTAAAATAATATGATATATATATATAGAGAGAGAGAGAGAGAGAGAATTATCTCTATAGAATTATATAGAGATAATATAGAATTATATTAATATATGTAATATATATTATCTATAGAATTGTATTAATATTAAATTCATATAATATAATTTGTAATTAATTGTATTATTATATAAAGTACATATAATTAATTATATAATTAAATAATATATAAAATATATTATAAATTATTAAATAACGACGCATAAAATAAATATATAACTATTATATTTTATATATCATTAGAAAGATAGATAGATAGATAGATAGATAGATAGACATTTTTATTACATGTGTTATAAAAGTAGTGTATAATTATATAATTATAATTATATTTTAATATTATATTTATATATAATATACATTTGGTCAAAATAACATTAAATATTGTATGCATCATTATATAATACATTAATATATAGAATTCTATTTTATATATATATATATTACAAATAATTACATATATATTTTGCATTTACATGTATTAATAAATTATATAACCAATTATATAATTAAATAACATATATATATATATATATATATATATATATATATATATAAATGTCATGTCTTATATAAATATTTGTATTCATATATTATATGTGTGTGTATACTCTAGACTGTAAGGTAAAAATCAAACTGCTACAGAAACGATTCTGAATTCGTTCTTTACAACTGCATCAGAAAGTCCCAAAAGACTAAAGCTACATCGACTTCAAAACAGGATATGACATCATACAGGTCTGTATCATTAAGGGGCCTGTTATGCTCTAGAGAAGAGGGTCCGGATACTCACTGAACGCAGCGATGGCTAAGATCATTGTCACCACAATGGAGACCCACGATACCCATAATGCCTTTTTTCTGTAACTCTGGGCCTCCTGGGGTTTCAGACGCATACTGCTCTCCAGGAGTCCTGCTGAGGGACAGCGCTCGGTTAGCTTACGTCAGGTTATCTCTTCACATCTCAAAGGAACTCAATGGGATTTATTCACAAATAAGTCCATAAAGTGTATAAAGGGCTAGTTGTCACAAGCACAATATCTCAGCAACTATGAGGTTTTGATTAAAAAGTCGAATAATGCAAATGCTTGTTTTGTATGTTGATTTATAGCATCTATAGTTCAAAACTGTCTTAAATCAGGATCGATTTTGTGAATTTTGTTCTCAAAACTACAGTTGTAGCTGTTGTGCTCAATAGAATCGCACTAGAATTCATTCAGAAAAGAATCAACTATATAATTAATTAGAATCTGCATTCTAAGCATAAGGTTGTCAAGTTGACAAGTTGTCACACAAATTAATATGTTTTAACTTCAAACTATAAATAAATGGCACTTTCTGCTCGCCAAAACAACTGTATACTGTATATATTTTCATTTATTAATTTGATTTTTTTACATTTATTTTTATAAAAACTATTTAAATCCTCCTGTAATCAAATATTTTTTATTTATTTAACTATTTTTCATTTATTGCAATTCAATTTCGCCATTAAATAGTCTATAATACATTTAAATACATATATGTTGTGAAACATACTTTTTAATATATAATTTAGACGTCATTTCATCTTTAAAAAAGGTATTCATCTCAAATCAGTGTCAACGAAACATTGTAGACTAATTAATTACCGCTTTATTGAAATCTATATTCTTCTGATGGCCTTTTTTATTTATTTGTTTGTTTGTTTGTTTTTTTCCCTTATATATTCTGTAGTCAAGACTTTATTTTTTGTGTCTTTACAGAAACTCTGACTTTCAGAAATAAAACCAACCTGAGAAATGTGACAACTTGCCCCGAGCTCCGCTTTATATGTATTTTTCCACGCAAATAAACCCCTAAAGTCTGTGTCAAAAGTGTTTAAAGCCAAACTCGTACCGTTGTCGTCCGGCTCTCCTATTTTCATCTGCTGCTCCATGTTGAAAGTGTCTGCTTGGCTCGGATGGTGTCCGTTCGCAGGAGTCGATGCTGAACCCAACACCGGTGGATCCGGAGCAGAAGCAGGAACGGGATCAGGACCGGGGTCTGCAGGACCAGCAGTGGGGTCAGCAGCAGAGGAGGGGTCCGTCATGATGATAGGGTCCCGGGTTCAAATGATCGCGAGCATCCGAGGAATGTGACACCTGCACGCGAGCGGAGGAGACGCGACTGCTGGAGAGCGTTCAGCGCATCGCTCGCGCAAGCGTGCACGCACGCGCTAATTAAACACACACACGTGCAAATCGCACTTTACAAACAGACTCGCTCTTACAAACATTTCGAAAACTGTTATTAGGATATTATTGTTAAATAACAATAGTGGAAATATGGAAAATCCATCTGTGAGCTCTGGTGACGTGTGATCAAACAACCATCTGTTCATATAAAACAAATAGTTCACACATGAACTCCTTCAGAAACTACTTATTTGAATAAAGTACTTCTGAAGGGAACAGACAGATAGATAGATAGATAGATAGATAGATAGATAGATAGATAGATAGATAGATAGATAGATAGATAGATAGATAGATAGATAGATAGATAGACAGACAGATAGATAGATAGATAGATAAGACAGACAGACAGACAGACAGACAGACAGACAGATAGACTGACAGACAGATAGACAGATAGATAGACAGACAGACAGACAGAAACATAGACAGATAGACAGATAGACTGACAGACAGACAGATAGATAGAGCGACAGACAGATAGATAGACAGACAGACAGACAGACAGACAGACAGAGAGATAGATAGAGAGATAGACAGACAGACAGATAGATAGATAGACAGACAGACAGACAGACAGAGAGATAGATAGAGAGATAGACAGACAGACAGACAGACAGACAGACAGATAGATAGATAGATAGATAGATAGATATTTACTGTTAAAGGTTTTATGTGTGTATTTTGAATGGAAAGTAATTACAAATCAAAGTAGAGGTGAAATTAGCGACATCTTGTGTAAAAAAGTCACTATTGCAGTTCTTTGCTGAACTCTAAAGGTCTGTGAAATTACAAATGTTGAAAAATTAAAATGGGAAAATAAAAATGCATTTCAAGATATTATTAATAATATTCATAATTTATATTATATAATTGTATTTTATATAAAAGTATACACCCACACATATATAAAATAAAAGTTATATGCCTATTTGTAAAATCATCTAAGATATTAAATAACTATACATTTAAATAAATTATACATATTACTAATATACATATACAATTCAAAGTTATAATACATTCAAGTTATATACATATACAATTCTAATGATAAACATATCAAATTTTAAATAAATATTGAATTATCTAAAAAAAAAAAAAGTACTATCACAAAACAGCACCATTTTTATATAAAACCCCTGATAAATTACTTGAAAAGCTACAATAATGACATTATAAACCACAACATGAAACATAAATCACCTTGCCTGCATTTACACCTAAAGCACAATTGATAGTGTAGTAAGACTGTTAAAAGTATATTTAGCAGAACAAAAATCACATTTCATGTGATGCTTCTATTATTCAAGATGACAACGTGAAAGTGTTTAGTATTTTATGTTTGATCGTCAGCTATCGAAATCGTTGTAGATTCCCATCAATAGGCTCAATGTGTCACGTGTGTCTCTGCGCAGAGCAGTGCCGCCTCCGTCCGCTTCGCGTCGCTGCCGCGCTCGGTGACGGCACGGGGATGTAGCGCGCGGTGCGGGCGGAAGCGGGCGGGATGATGGCGGCGGATCAGCGGGGCTCCAGCAAATGGCTCTTCACCCGAGAACAGCTCGAAAACACGCCGTCCCGCCGCAGCGGAGTCGAGCCCGACCGCGAGCTTTCGTACCGACAGCAAGCCGCCAACCTAATCCAGGACATGGGCCAGAGATTAAACGTGTATCCTTCACAAAAACAGCAGCGTTGTGAGGGAGTTAGCCGTTAGCACGTTAGCACGCTGCCGCTTTTGACCAAGCGAAAAAAGTGGCGGATCAAATGCGATGTTTTAATGTGTTCAAATTCACACCAACCGCACAAGTTTGTCATAAATGGCGTGTTAAATGCGTTATAAAGTGTATTCTGGGGGTATAAAGTGAGCGAATGTGTGAAATACAGGCGTGCGAATGACAGGAATTGGATTTGGTGACTTAAATGAAATCTATCCTATTATGGTTTTTGCCTAATTTCATATGGTTTTAATTATAATAATTTAGTTTCGTGTGTCTTTTAGGGGATTAAGAGTGATTTAGACGTGACTGGTGTAAGATAATAGATAAACACAAGATGTGTATGTTGTGTTATTGTCTATAAATATGTAATTTTATTCTTTTTCTCTTATATTATAGATGATTATTCAGTGCAATATCTATATTAGTGTAATTTGGGACTATGAGCTGGTTTAATGTGATTTTGAGTGATAGTTACGAAGATTATGATTTATGAGTATTATATTTTTGTATTATATTACATATAATAGCTTCTTTTGCAGTGTTTTTGTTCCTTGATGAAACTGTGCAGATCCCAGCTCACAATTAACACAGCAATCGTCTATATGCACCGGTTTTACATGCTTAATTCCTTTACAAAGTTCCATAGAAATGTGAGTATGCATTTTGAAATTAATTGTTTATGATTTGATTGTACAAAATGTTCGTATTTGTTTCATTTGTATGTGTTTGTTGACCCACTAATGCTCAAGATCTTTCAGGATTTCACTCTTGTTTTAAATGGCAGAACTAGACCCATACGTAACCCTGTTGTTTATTGATTTTTGTGTTCATTTTAAATTTTATAATAGTTCTCTTCTGTCTTCGATCAGATCATTTCTCCCACCACACTCTTTCTGGCTGCTAAAGTGGAGGAGCAACCAAGGAAACTTGAACACGTTATTAAAGTAGCACATGCTTGCCTGAACCCTCACGACCCACCGCTGGACACCAAGAGCAATGTGAGTGTGGGGGCTTATGTATGAAGGTATTTTTGGTGCAAAACAACTGAGCGTCTGTGACACGGGATTTTGAAATTGTACAGAATAGCCACACGTGTATCAGTAAATTTGAACTCGCAGACAAAAGTTGCAGATTTAAGTTGCAGATTTAAAACTTGTAGATTTTTTTCTCTCTCCCACAAACACAACACAAGTTACATCATCTCGAATCCTTCGTTGCAGGTGCACAGATCCTATTCACGAATCACAAATCAAGAAACTCGTACGCTCACATGTTTTGCTACCCTTGCTGCAGTGAAAATGGTGCCAAACACATTCACACACCTGCATCAAAAATGTGAAGTCACGGACGTATTTTGTACATCCGCAAATCAGTATGTGAGTTCTTGCAATGAGATTTGCACACTTCTAGAATGTTTTCTTACACACACACACACACATATAGGCCTATATATATTTATTTAATTTTTTTCTTGGTTGCCTTTCTTGCACAAACACAACTACATAGTGACAACGGCTTGAATCTGCTTACAAATGACAAGTTTCGCGCACTCTCCCTTTTGCAGCACATATCTGTGTGAAATATGGTGCAAAAGTGATTTGTGCATCTGTAGAGGCAACAGCGGGCACTCTTCAGAGATCAAGAGAATTTTGGCCAATCAAGAAGAGCTAGTTTGGGCACCTATCAGCAGGGAGAAAAAAAACGAGCTACGCGAGCATCTTCTGGAGCTGACAGCGGCAACCAATAAAGGTACATTTTCTTTCTTTTTTTGAAATCATTCACGGTTATACTGTACATTTGTTTATAATTTCAAGTATTAAATGAGTTTAGCTCTAACCCTGATAAAACTCGCCTACCTTGTAGCCTTCTAGTAATCCTAACTAAGTTAATTGGTAGAGGTGCATTTGAGTAGGGTTAAAGCTCAATTACAGGACAGTGGCCCTCCAGTACCAAGTTTGCCCATCCCTGCTTCAACTCACAAAGAGGCTCTATAAAAGATTGATTAACCCGTTAATTAAATCGATTATTATGAGAGTATCATATACAAGATGATTAAATATATTTGTTAATATATTTAAATTAACAACAAATGTACAGTATAAGAGTGAGTGATTTCTGAAAAGAAAGAATATGCACCTTTATTGGTATTTGCTGCTGTCAGGTCTGGAAGATGCTCGCGAAAGTGTTTATTTTATTTCCCCCCCTGCTCGTTCGGGTGCCAACTGATAGGCTCCTAAACTACACTGTAAAGAGATTGCTGTGAATTTTACAGTAAGCTGGATGTATTACTGTATTTTCATTTGAAGTATTACTGTATTGTCAGTATTAGTACTGTTCAGTTTTTTTTACTTTTTACCTGTATAAAACAATCCAATTGTGGTACAACACTATACACCATATTTGTTTCCAACCCCATAAAAATCACAATAACTCATTAGCATTTGTATTTATAATATTCTTTTTAACTGTTGAACATTTTCTTTTTAAAAATACAAAATGCACTAGCTGAAAAAAGGGTATCAATCACCACAGTCCTCTGGGGACTTTGTATCTGTAGCATGGCAAAACAGGCTTTACAGGAATAAAATGCATTAAAAAGTAGTTTGTGTTGTTAAATTTCAGTAATTTTGGCAAAGCTAACAAGCTCTCTGATAAGAAACGCCATTAGGGGATTCAGGCTGATGCTTTTTCTTTGCACCCTCTTTCCTGAATTCCATCTGATCTGTGACTCTAAATGGCATTTGGTGCCACCAGGGTTGATTCTCGGAATGAACCTGCAAGCACAAAAAATATATATATTTCAAATAAGTGTTGACATAATTTACCCCAACTGTCAGGCTTAGTGCTGTATGTGCTTTAAGATGAATTAACACTATATACTATCTGAACGCACCTACAAGGAAGGTGCATAATTGGTTGATAATCCATCACAAATTATTAAAGCTCCATTCCTTATAATGCATTTCTGTAGATCAAACAGTAGAACCAAGTCCTCATTATTGATGTAGCGCTTTTTACAATGCAGATTGTGTCAAAGTATTAAACAGGGAAATAGTGTGTCGAAATAGTGTGCCGTTCTCCTCTGGCCAGACGAAACCAGTTTAATTCTAGGTTGCAACAAAGTCAGATTGTGCAGAGGAATCGTCTGGTTCCCGTGATCTTGTCCCGATGGCCATCTTGGAGACGAGGTCTTCTCTGGGGCTCATCTAGTTGTCCTGGTCTCATCTCTAGGTGCTGATCCACCATCTGGGATGGTTACAGACTGGATCCGGGTGACTGCAGTGACCATCTGATCTGGATAC